ACGATAACTATGTAAAACAAACATGCGGTTATATATGACAGAAGAGAAAGTGAAAATAAAAATTGTAGTGGCATATATATATATATATAGCTTATATTAAAACAGGAAAGAAAGGAGAAATAGATTTTCTCTTGTAAGAGAAAAAATAAAGAAAAGAGAAAAGGAATAGTTTCCCTTTGGCTGATATTTTGTTTCACTTTCTCGCCTGCTTGACAAAAACAAAATGTATATCCACGGCTAGAGGGTACGAACAAAATAGTTGAGATATGCATGTAAAAATGGAGAGCCTAAAATAAACTAACAACTGTGTATCCTTTGAAAGTGATGCAGTGTTAAACAATTATTTTGAACTTGTGATGATAAGATCATACACCAAATGGAAAATGAAGCTTTAAGTGCCCGCATCAAAGTACAAGTAAAACCTCAATGGATCTGGTAAATCATGTCGCTCTACTGTCTGAACACTTACAATGGAGTGTTCGAAATGTTTTAGAGATGAGACTTCTGCTATTGCACAAAATGTTTTTGGAATGAAGAAAAAACTAGTTAAAACTTTTTGATCATAATTTCTTTCTGACGTAGATTGCAACGATCACTACAATTCAAAGAAAACTTCTTATACCAAAAATCGAGTCACTTAAATTATTTTCCTTTTATTTTGACCTTTATTTCTTCAACAAAACTGTGCTCAATTACAGGTCAAGTAAGAAGGAATACCACAATACCTGCAATCAAATACACAGATAAAATCACCCATTGCTAGTGTTCGTTTCTGCAGCAGCGTGGAGAACCGTAAAACACAAAATTATTTTACGTCTCTATGCGCACAGATTTTGAGGATAAGCTCTTATTGTTATTATCAGTTTAAAATAAGGATACCAGCTCATGATTTTTTTCCTTTAGATTTTTAGCTATTCGTCGAATTCACTAGCTAAATGTATTAGCGTCTAATCCCCAGACACCAATATCACGATGAATTTGGTCAATAGCAATTCGAATTTCTTGGCCGCTTTGGATGTTTTGACGATAGATCGATTTTGTGGGTGGGTACAATCGGAGCGTTTCTTTGACACATGGAATCAGTAGTTCGACTGATGTTGAATTACGAAGTTCATTGAACAGAATAGGACGACGTATTAGTTCTAACAACGTGTAGAAAACGACACGCCACATTGTTTCATACCCCGGTATCACAATATTCAATGCGTTTCCGATTTCTTCATCGAGATCGGAAAGACCTAACTCGATCATCATTGAAGATTTGTGGTCTTGCATTATCCGTCTGATTTTCTGCCATGCTGTTGAACCACTGAAATTACCCGTTTCTTGTGTTAACAAATTCAAAATTTGAGTTCGGGAGACTTGATCATTCTTTTTTATCCACAAACGATTGATCAATGTTGGCAGCTCATTCAGCAACACATTGGAAGCATCAATATTCAGAAATGATTTGATGAAAATGTTTAAAACGATGATTTGAATTGTTTGAGATAGATTCACTGCCTCGTTGAGTATCATTCTTTCATCGATATTTCGTTGCACGATTTCCACGAAGCACTTGTAGTTATCGGGCTTGTATAGTTCTGACAACATTTTGAATATGCTGGCAACAAATTCCTTGCGATATTCATTATTAGAAACTGTAAATGGATTGATGATCAAAAATGTTTTAATCATCCAAGCATTTGGCTTCTGGCGGCTATACAGCGTTCGATCGAGAAGAATCGATTTTGCCGCTAAACCATTGGTAATTATTAATACCGAGCTTTCTGATCGCATCTTGCGATAAATCAACACTCCAATTACACAACAACTGCATACAAATAACAGTAATAATAACATATTGCTGCACTTTTGAATTCAACTATTTTTGATAATTTTTGATATTTTCTGCAAGCCGAATGAAAAATTCTCCATTTTATATGAAACTTCTATAGGTGGGAAAATTCCCACTTTTTGTCTGTTATTCTGTCTATTACAAAATTACCCGTTTTTAAAGAAATAATATCTAAGCAAGTATCTTATG